CGCTCTAGTGACTCTGTGTTTAGATCGTATGCAACAAAGAACAAGTATTTGACTTACTTATATTAGAGACTGTTGATGTCTAGAGGTGTGATAGTGTAGAAGATTAGCATGTTTCGTTCGGTTGTTCGGTATTGGACAACCACATTCGCAATCAAATGGAATTCCATTCGATTGCGCATGCAAACTTAATAACTCATTTAAAATGTTTTGTTTTTTTAATTTTATTTTAGGTTCCTTACGTCTTATCACATAGCACCGCGGAAGAGCCTTTTACACACCTACATCCAGAGATAGGGTTTAAACCTTGTTTTTTTTGATGCAACTGCGCTACCACTGCGCTACAGGGCTGCAGCTCCCTTGTAAGTAATGCTAATTTAGTGTAACGTTGATGTAAAATGTAGAAGAAAAAGTAGGAAATATTCCTTAAACTCTTAAATTAGTTACTAATTGAAAAGTAACTTAGTACTTAAGGTTTCTCATATTTTCGGGGCTTCTGGAACATGTTTTATTATAAACTGATTTCTTATTAAAAAAAGCATTTAGAAATGTTTCCTTTAAAAGTATTTTTGAAAATTGTTTATAGTATAACAGTTATATATTATGATGATAACTAAGATAGTTGTTCAAAATTTAAAAATGATTTTAAATTTTGATGTGCAAAATGTTTTTTAAACTTTTAGAAAACACAAAAGGAAGTGAAATTTGACTATAGTTAATAATGATCTCATCGTCACCTCCATTTAATATCAGCGCAATAATTATATCAGCACAAAAATAACTTTTTATCAGCACCTAATTTTCATTTATAAATATAATAACTCCAGCTAATTTTAACTGTAAGTTTGAGAAAAATGTAAATGAAAAGTATTTCTTAAGAACAAATCAATCAAATTCTTTTAAACTGCCAAGAAAATTAAATAAATATACAGAATATTCAATAAAATATCGAGGACCTAAGTTATGAAACTCTTTTCAAAAAACTAATGGTAAAATTATTAAACTCATTTAAGTTTTAAGCAAAAAACACATGTTTAATTTTGCGGAATAATAATTCCAAAATAATTTTGAAAATTAATTTATATGAATTTTAATTATTTTTCTTAATAGTTACTAATGATATACGAGTTTTTTAAATGTATTTAAATCTTTTTGTGTGTTATTGTTGTACAATAAACGGCGTCTGGCCGTTTATTGTACAAGTGTTCATAGCAATACTTTATGTTGAATTGGTTGAAAGTAAGTTTATTATTTAATGATTTATATTTTTAATGATTTTCAATAAAAAGCAGATTATGAAAATAGCTTATCGGATTATGAAACGAGGAAAAAAAATAAAACGTTAAAATAAAAATAAAACAGTCTACTATTTGCACTGCTTATGTTGATATTGTTTATATATATATATATATATATATATATATATATATATATATATATATATATATATATATATATATATATATATATATATATATATATATATATATATATATATATATATATATATATATATATAAATTTTTTATTATTTTTTTTGAGTTTTTATGCTATATTTTTTTATACAATGTTCTTATATCCGAAGATATTGTTGGCTTAGCATAGGAACAGCTACAAATAGTCATTAAGACTAATCCAAAGTAGCGTCCGTTATTGACCAACATTTTTGCGTACCGAAGTACTACTCAAGCGCTGAGTTGGCGGTGGCGGGATTTGAACTCATATCGTTCAACAGTCCGGGTTTTCACTTTTCCTTTAACTCTCTAACCATCTGAGCTATCCCTATCTAAACCAGAACTTGGAAAGGTTAGTAAAACTGGAAAACATCAACAATAAAGTGAGTAAAAATCATTTTTGCAAACCAATAGCATACGGATGACGTAATAAATTGGTTCCGCAATATTAAAGACAAATACAACAGTTCATTGATCCAGTATTATTAAATCCATACCAGAGAGAGAGCAGAGAGTTTTATAACAACGTGTTAGCAGCAAGTGGGTATAATGAAAAGACTACTTTCTAAAAAAATCTCGCACCATCAAAGCCAAAATAATAATCACAAAATATAATTTGGTTTAATCCTCCGTTTTCGCAAAATGTAAAGACCAACGTCGCAAAAATTTTTCAAATCTAATTGAAAAGCATTTTCCAAAAACACTTAACTGCCGGCAACCTTCACAATGTCCTTTGCAAGGTATGTGTCTTACTAAAAATATAAAAAAAAGTAAAAACATCACCGCAGGATAGTACTTTAAATTGTATTGGTTTAACGGAGCGCACCTTTAAAGATCGCTGGTACAAACATAAAAACTCCTTTCAATACGAAAGTAAAGCTAATATCACGGTGTGTCAGTACTTGTCCACTTTGAAATACAGTGCTGATAACTTAATTTATGAAACAAACCGAAAAACTTCGTTGGATTTATTCTTAGTAATTTATTCTTAGTAATCGCTCAGTAATTTAAATTCTTGTTGACAGAGTCAATATCATATTGTTGGCATACAGAGTCAAGATCATATTAAAGTGTTCTTTAGTTAGAAGTCAAGGTTGTTTTAATAATAATCCAGAATAATCATAGTTTTTAACTTATATGACGTATCACTCGCTGATTCTCAAAAGTGTTGTCATGTTCAGATATATATATATATATATATATATATATATATATATATATATATATATATATATATATATATATATCATAGATATAGATATATCTATATCTATATATATCTATATATATATATCTCTCTCTCTCTCAATATATATATATATATATATATATATATATATATATATATATATATATATATATATATATACATATATACATATATATATATATATATATATATATATATATATATATATATATATATATATATATATATATATATATCATATATACATATATATATATATATATATATATATATATATATATATATATATATATATATATATATATATATATATATATATATATATATATACAGTATCGGACAAAACAAGTGCAACCAAATAATGCTAATTTAGTTTCTTTATATAAAAGTGCTGCATTTTTTTAATTTAGAGAAATAACTATGTGGCTGTTTAGAGACAACGTTCTTCAAGTTTTATTCATCGCAAAGTTCATTATTTGTACACGAAAACTAATAAATTAATCAAAAGTATTAAAAAAAGTTGATTTCCTTTTGGACAAAACAAGTGCAACTCCACAAAATGTTGACCAAGCTGTATTTCGCTATCAATATTTTGTGGCGAATCCTTTGTTGTCGATCACAGCCTTGCATCTTCGAGGCATAGATTTGATCAGGTGATTAATGAAACTTTATGGAATCGCTGCCCAGGGCTTTTGGATTTATTTAAACAGTTGATTCTTATTACAAAACACCCTCACGATTAATTTTGCGGTTGACGATCTCCCACAGGTTCTCGATAGGGTTGAGATCTCGACTGATGATATCCAGAGATCCTTATTGACGGATCTGACGATCATAGAATCTTCTTTAGAAGTGGTGGAACGTGGTCTTCCACTTTTGTTATTTGCTGCCAAGTTCCCTGTAGAACGATATTTGGAACATAGTCTTGATATGGTCCATTTTTTCACGCGTTACTTATCACAAATACTTTTTTGTGACATTCCACTTACGTAATCGCCAATAATTTTCTTTCTTAGTTCCAATCCAAGACTGTCGGGAGCCATTTTTGCATTTGAAGTCATAAAAATAAATAATCACGCTTTTCAAGGCTTACTGTGTTACATTTACCTTGTGATGATACAATAATGCTCTGTAGAACACAACGTCTTGGTTGGATGTGGACTGTATTGATGTAATGAAACACTTGTTGTATTTCACTTCTTGTATTGATGTTCTTCGATAAAACACTTTGATAAAACTCACTTTGATAAACTGTCTTGATAATACTGACTAATTGACTTCCATATACTGACTGAATTATATGTCGGTTTACATGTCTCTTGTATTGTAAAATGAACCTATGTGAACCTGTTCTGGAAGATTCTAGATGCTTTTTTTCGATGCTTCTGGATGTTTCTGGATGCTTCTTCTGGAAACTTCTGCAAGCTTCTGGATACTTCCTTTAATTAATAAAAAACTTCCGTGACGTTGACATGGACCAGACTTAAGAAAATGAAACAAACCAAAAAAGTTGCACTTGTTTTGTCCGCTGCAAAATGGCTCTTGACAACAAAATTCTACCTGTGTGCTGTCACCTATCACCTGATTGCTCATGTCATAGCATGCTATGACTCCAGACTCCTGAACTGTTTGCTGTGGTAGTATAGTTCGTTTCGTTTTTAAGACATAAAATTAGGAACACTTTTTAGCATTGTTCGATGTTGGTTGCAAATGTTTTGTCCAATACTGTATACATATACATATATATATATATATATATATATATATATATATATATATATATATATATATATATATATATATATATATTTATATATGGGGTCGTAAGAATTTTTCACTATCAAAATAAGTAAATAAAAAACTTTATTTTTAAAAATTATCAATATTTAAGGTGAAAGTTCAATTTGAAAAATATATGAAAATGAGAATAATCATGGTTCTAAATATATATAACGTATAATAAATGTCCTCCAATTCGATTTAATTTTTTTGGCTGATTTCAAGGCCTCATTAAAAATAATCTAAAACTTGAAAAACGCAAAATAATAATACAAGAACGTGCCTAGTGATAACTGAATATCATATTTATTTTAAATTTGTATAACATACTTATTTTGAATGTAAATATTTATTTAAAGCATTTAAATATTCTACTAATAGCAAATTCGCATCGAAAAAACAAAACAAAAATTAAAATATATTAACAAAAAAAAAAAAAAAAATAAAAATAAAAAAAAAATTACGAGACTATTATAAAAAGGGAGGCATTAGAGAAAAAAAAACTACTTTCTTCATGAAAAAAACCAATTTGTCGTTTTTTTAAAAAAAAACACAAAACAAATGTCGAGGCATGTATTTTTAATTGTTCACTATAAAACGTGAACGGCAAATTTAAACAGGATTTAGTAACAAATGTGTAAATATGTGAAAAAATAATTTAGCGAATAACAGAAAATAAAATTTAGTTAAAAATAAAAATTATAACAAACATATTTAATACAAAAAATTTATAAATAAAAAACTTTTTATGAAAAAAATTTACGATAGATTTTTTGTTGTAAAACTATCGCTGATTCTAAAAAATGTTGTCATGTAATAAATTTTTGTTAATAAAAACATCGCAAATTTTAGCGTATTAAAGACTTCTTTTTATGGTATATTAGACAAGGCCGGTTGCCGATAGGAAAATTTAAGCAATTTAACACGGTTCTATTTTATTCCATGGATGATGAGTTTTCTAATAACACTGGTAAGCTAGATTCATTAGCAGTATCGTTTTCCTCAACAGAATCTGAATCAATAGTAACTGTTGGAGGTAAAAACCGTAAACTCGGACGGCGAAAATTCGAATACTCAAATGACTTTTTATTAGTCTTTTCTTCACTGTTTTTATGAATATCTTCCGTACTACTATCAATAAATTCTGTAGAATTATTAACGTCTTTGCTTGATGAGTTATCGTTTTTATCATGTTTAAGAAGACCTCTTGATAATTCATCTGCACTTAAGGATTCAGACTAAATATAAAAAAAATACAAAGAAATGATAATAAAATAAATAAGTTAAAAATAAATTAGGACAACACAAGTGCACGTCGGCAACATAAACATCAATTTATATTTTGTATTAAAGCCAATTTGAACCTTATTTTTGTGCAATTCATTTTGATAAGAGCTGCAACCGTGGTAAGAATGTCTGTATAAATCATTGTTTTGATCATGTACATTGAGCAGTGGTGAGCTATTTGCGTTATCACCCACATTGTTGCTGGGACGCCGCCGAAACATATTACGCATCCTTTCAGATTCAGTAAAAGTTAACGATCTTCGAACAGAATTTGTCAAGCTTCCAATAAAACTACGGCGTTTTCCACGCTAAATAAAAAAGGGTTGGGAAGTCTTACCGACGTCACATTTGTTACATCACGTGACACCGGAGACATTTAAAAAGTACCATCTTCAGTTAAAACAATGTTAGAAATATTAGTTAAATAATGTTATAGTTTATTGTAAAATCGAAATGTTATATACAATTAATAAATAATTTATAATTTAAAAAATCTTAACGAGTTAAAGATAAAAACAAATTTTGTTGGAATGTTTAAAAATTTATATTTTTTAATCTTTTTTGTTTAGTAACTCTTGCAATAAATAAAGTTTCTTATGAAAAGAAATGGAAAATTATGAAAGGTTCTTGTAATAATCAGTTTCTTAAAATACTTCTTATGACTAAACCAGATTGAAAAAACCGAAATGATCCGAAAAATCCAAGTTATATTGAAAGTTCTTACCTTAAAATCAATTTCTTCTCCTAACTCACCAGATATTGTTCTTCTCAATTTAGGACCAGCTGAATGTAAAATGCGAATTCCAGCCTAATTAGATAACGTATAACAAATTATTTCCTGGTTCAAATCGCATTGGAAAAAAATCGTTTTTAAATATTTATAAATACTTTAATACATACATAATTATCTAAAAATAAAACTATATATATATATATATATATATATATATATATATATATATATATATATATATATATATATATATATATATATATATATATATATATATATATATATATATATATATATATATATATATATATATATATATATATAGGGAAAAGCGGGGCAACATGGCGAACGTTTTAAAAGCTCTGAGTTATTGCAAAACTATATGTTTATGCTATTAAAATCCTTCAATGCTTGTATGAATTTTCAGTTTGCAAATATAACAATTTGATAAAATTATTAAAATAAAAACTTCATAAATTTGTCATCTGGTCACGTGACCGGGGCAAGATGACTTATTATGCAGTTTTTACCTATAATTTTATAAAGTTTTAAAAACTACTAATAACTCTTACTAAAGTAACAAAAAATAAACACAAATTACAAAAAACTACTTCTAAAAAAGTTAAATTTAAAAGGCACCATCCATTATGAGAAACCGAAAGTGAGGAATTTTTTTTTAAGCGCAAAAAGTAAACTTATGCGTATAAAATTGCGTTAATAATTTTTTAAAAAACCAATTGTTGTTTTTAAATACAAGATACAAATACAGTTTTGTTTTTTACCCGATTTTATAATTTTTTGTTGAGTTGTTATATGAAAACCCATCTTGCCCCATTCGCCATGTTGCCCGGCTTTTCCCTATATGTGTGCGTGCATCAGTCCATTTGCACCGCTAAATTTAAGTGTATCTCTTTTTCACTTTTTTTTCATAATAAAAAGTTAAATTAGAAACTAGAATCTAATATTCTCAAAAAATGTAGAATTTGTTTTAAACTCGAAAAAAATTATTACATCTAAACTCGATTTTATTTGATCTCTATTTTAATAATTATTTATTCGTTACTTAGACAAAATTTCCTTCGTTTTGGAGCAACTGATGCAATTGTTCTTCATCAAATACAAATGTTATTGGTTAAAGAAGAAATATTTTAGGCTTTAACCAATCGTATGTACACTTTTACAAATTTTTCTTATCACTTTGTAGCAAGTTATGCAATTGTTCTCTTAATCATAAATGATTGGTTAAAAAACAGTTTAAAACCAATCACTATTTATTAAAATAACAATTGCATCAGTTGCTACAAACCTTCCGCAAAAAAATACAAAAATGTTTCAAATATGATAGGAGAATGTTTTTATTAACCAATCAAATTTGTAGAAAGTTTAGAACAATTGCATCAGTTGCTCTAAATCGTTCAAAATTTACAAAATTCTGAAATGCCACTTGATATACGTACTTCGCTCGTAATTTTTGTCGTAGAACTTTGCTAGTAAATTAAAGTTTTGAATCAAAGATGAATTTTTTTAGTTTCAAATGCAACTAAGGCTAGGTATTTACAAAATATTTGCAAATGTAAAAATCAGTTAACTGAAGAGTTGAAAATTTTAAATAACATACATATATATATATATATATATATATATATATATATATATATATATATATATATATATATATATATATATATATATATATATATATATATATATATATATATATATATATATATATATATATATATATATGTATATATACATATATACATATATATATATATATATATATATATATATATATATATATATATATATATATATATATATATATATATGTATATATACATATATACATATATATATATATATATATATATATATATATATATATATATATATATATATATATATATATATATATATATATATATATATATATATATATATATATATATATGTACATATATGTATATATATTTGGGCAGGCCAAAATCTAAAAATTTTAAAAATTACACGTGGCTACGTAAAAAGTTGTTCCTTACCATATAGAAATTATTATTTAAAAAAAAAGTTTTCTATGATGTTTCTAAGTACTGCCGCATTTTATTTAAAGAACCGCGTTTTTACGCAAAAGTATCACAACAAAAACTTAGGTGATGTGGGATTGGGACATATTTAGCATCTATTCCAAATGTTTAAAATGCTTTAATTATCACACAAATATATTTCAACTTTAAAAAACGAATCCATTATTCTATATAACCAAGGTGCTATCTCGTGCAGTGATGAATGGTATAACGGAAAATGTTATTTGAATTGAACAAAGTCAGAGAATAATTCCTTCTTATTGAAATTACCAACAAGTTTTCTATGATTTTCAACGACTTATTTCGTTTTGTACTGCCTCATCCTAAAATTAGCCAAACATTCTGTAAAAAAAATTTGAATAAAACTTTAAATACTTTTTAAAAATACCTTTCTCTCACCTTTGTGACTAACTGAAGAGAACCCGAACATAACTTGATTCCTTGCTCTGCAACATCGTTTGTAACCTTGATTGTTTTGATAAAATGTTTCATTTTTAAAAAACAATCAAGGTTACAAACGATTTTTTTTTCTCCCATTCTGAAAGAGGAAGTTTGAGTCATTTACCTTTATTGTTTAAGTTATGAAAGAGCAACCAAGATCTTTTCCCAACATACGGCAATATCTCTAAGTTCTTGTGAATAGATGGAAGATTAGGTTTTCCAGCTTTAACACAATGTTAGCCTTTTCTTTAGCAGAAACCTTATTTAAAAAAAGACTGAAGACTGAGACCTCCTCAGTTAGATACCATGAGTGCCTGTTAATAATTTCTTGAGCTTTCTGAGCTGCATTAGAGAAGCCTGAGATCTGCCCTAGAGCGCCTAGATCATTGTACAAATGAATATTGTTAATTGGTACATCAGAGCCTTTTGTTGCTTCTAGCCAAGCATAACCATATAAAACTGAGCTGAAAGTCAAAAAAATTTTTAACTTTGCTATATCAGAATCGAGTAAATCTTCTTTAAAGATGAACATCTTCGGTGCATACAACAAGTGTGACATCCATCTGGCATGATGATTTGCTCCACAGGTTTTCCATACTTTAGGTTCTGGTCCATCTAAAAGATAAAGTGCTAACTCTGCAGCTTCCTTGTAATCACCTCGGCAATGCTTATATTTTACTTGTTTCTCTAAAAACACACGAGTTTCGTCTGCTTTCATTTTAAGAAAAGAATTTTCAAGATCTAGAAACCTGTTTAGTTTTTTTAGTGGAGCCTTCTCTGCGCAAATCCATTCTTGTTGAAAATCTTTGAAATCTATATTATAATTAGCTTGTTTTTCTTTTTTAAAGAAGGAGCTCCAAAATGCTCCCAAGATCAACTCTAAAAAGTGATGGCGACAAGCTAGCCAAAGTTTTCATTGATTTACAATCCTCTAAAAGAGTTGCAGCTCCATTCCTAACTCCTGTATTACATGCAGTCGTATCAAAAACTATGTTGGCTTTGAGATCCCATTCCTCTAAGTCTTCCAAGATTCCTTTGCAAATAGCAAGTCCTGTACCAGATTGTATAGGTTTTATTGATAATATTATTCCTTCAACATAATTAGGAAAGGCACTGACCAAAACAGTTAAATACTCAAACTTTTGCCCTGAGATATGTTTTAAAAGTTTTTCATCTTAATGAAGTGTCAAATAATCTGATTTAATCTTATTTTGAAATTCTGTTATTATTTTCCTTGCCATTACTTGCCTATTTAGCTTTTGTGATTTTCTTATAATATTTATTGAAAGGCTAACGTCGTCAGATTTAACACCACTTGTATAAAATTAAAAAATACATATTTCTTTATAGATTGTATACAATAATCTTGTTTATTTATTAATAAAAAACGAACCTAAAACTAGAATTGCAAAAGTATTCATCATCAGCTGAGGATTTGATAGCTTAGTTCTATCTGCAGTTGCTGTTATCATTAGGTGAGAAATGAAGTTTTTTGGCAAAACCAGTGTGATACTATCTGATCCGGTATCTTCTTTTTCTCCTTGCTGCCTTTTAGAGATATTAAAGTCAGGATTACTTTTAGGAGAATTTTGATATGCAGAACTCATAGAACAACTAGATTTACTGACATAAGAATCTTCAGCTGAGTCACTACTATAACCAACCAACTAAACAGTTTCTTCATCATCTATTTTTCTTCTTTTTTCGTTTTCAGTTGCCACCTGTTTCTTTTCGATTCTTTCTTTTTTTCTCCTAACTCTAGAATGTAGCACATTATCTTTTACACCAATTCCTCCAGTTTTTATTCCATTTTGAAGAGCTGTAAACCAGGCAATATCTTCATCTGCATTCTTAGCTGATCTGGTTTTTCTAATGTCATCTTTCCAACTAGGAGAACTAATATCAAAAATGCCATCTAATGATTGAATAAAGTTTTGTTTAAGTAAACTCTTCGTATTAGAAATTCTATTTTTAAATTTTGCAAGCAACCTCCATTTGTCATGTAGCCTTAAAATATTTTCAATACTGTACTTGTCTTGTTTTTAAGGAATGCCAGCCTTATCCCAAAAGAGCTTGACTGATTTAATAGTAAGCAATGCAGCTAACCTAGATTTCGATTTGTTGCTTTGAGTGTGCAAAGCCTCCCTAACTTTAGTAAACTCTTCATAAGAGCTATCAATAACTTGCAAGTGATAAAATGAAATGGAAGTTGAAAATAATTTAAACCTTTACAAAAACTTTTAAAAACATAAATTTATAACTTCAGTCTTAATATAGTACTAAGCCTAACCTGAAAAATTTATAAACATTACTGGTAGTGGGCAAAGAGCTTGTTTTTAAATCTTCTAAAGGATATTTAAAAACAAGCTCTTTTGTTTGTTGACTTCAATACTTTCAAGTATTTCTTTTTAACCAACTTTTTTAATTTTGTTGGTTCACTGTCATTTTTCTTTGGTTTAATTAGTGACATTTACTTTATCAAATATTTACTTTGAATTACATATAAACTAGAATTGAAAACAAGATGACCATATAGTATTAAAGGGATCC